AACCACAAGCGCCTGCCACACTGACTGTGTGAGTGGCATATATGGACACAGTGTAGTTATCTTTTCAATAATTTTTGGAGCACATATAATCACCTGCCTTCTACACAGTGGGGGCACAGAGAGGTTAAGCAACTTCTCCTGCATCCCACAGCTGGTGCAGGGCTGGGCCACAGCAAAACCCCTGGTGCTCCAACACAGTCTGACTCCTCCTCTGCACTCACCACCTATGCTGCCTGCATCCTCACTGTCTCTAGCAATTTCTTGGCACCCACTGGAGCACCTACTTAGTGCCAGGCGCTGGCGGGGCTGGGAAAATGGAATGAGGCCTTATCCCAGCCCTACCCGGGGTGCAGTCTTTTCACTTCATATAAATGCCTATTTATTCATCACCGTACCCGGGGCCTACTCCGTGCCAGGCACAGCTGGGCACCGGACTGTAGAGAGCAACGGGCGGCAGCTCTTCTGGCAGCTTGGTGTCCACACTCATTTGCATTCATTTGGCACTCGGTAGTGGAATGCCACAGGCCTTCGAGCCAGATCACCCCGAGTTTGAGTGCGGGTTGCGCTCACTCTAGCTCTGTGATCCTAGTCAAGTTTTTTAACCTTTGGAGGCCTCAGTTTCCTCCTTGGGAAAATAGGGATTCCAATAGTTAGCCATAGGCGGGGGTGAGGCTCTATAGCTCTCAGCTCGGGCCTGAGACATAGTAAATGGTCAACAAACACGAAATGAGCGTGTTTTTAGTTTCCCAGCGGCCTGGGGGCGTCACTGTCTCAACCTACTTGGGTCTGGCATCCCCTTAATTCAATTTCCCAAGACCGTCCCAAACTTTGTCAGTCCTTCCGCACCCGCACTTTTCATTGGACGGCTGGGAATGGGGATCCGCCCCCTGGGCCGAGATAGCCAATGAGGAGCGCGCGACCCAGGGCCGGCTGCAAGGCCCGAAGGCCGGGGCGACAAAGGAGCGGGGCTACGGCCGCGGGTCGCGACTGAGCCCGACTGCCGCCCGTGTGCCCCGGCGGGCGGCCCTGAGCCCCGTCC